AGGCTGGCTGAGGACTGGTCGTTGGACTGTGTACTCATCATGGTGTGTGACAGTTGCTTCCGAGCTGGAAGTGGGAAAAATAAGCGTGATTCTTAGTCAATTTTGCTACCCCAACTTTGGCTTCAGCCTCGAGGAGCATTTACTTTTGCAATTCGGTTTTAATTTTGGTAAGCCTATCGAGAGCTAGTCGCTGTCTCGCAGTTGCTCTGGGCGACAGCTTCCTACAAACTAACGAATAAAACTCGGGCACAAAAATCCCCCTGGGCCTGAAGAAACTATCAAGGATCGACGAAACTTGGTGGTTCCGATAGCCATTTGACAACCCTGATAGCAATGAAGTTGGGGTCGTAGTTGGACCACTGAATCCTTCTAAGGTCAGTATATGTTCTGTTTTATGGGAGATCTGGAGGCCTGCCGTGCATACGTGCAGGAAATGCGCATGCCGTGATTTGTGGGCCCAATGCCACATGGACACGAACAGACGGTCATTTCCGAGTTCGATCTGTCGAGATAGAAACGGATTTGATATGCGTTTGACGGCCGTAAGGGAAGCACAACAGAAACCCGTACGATATGAAACCTACCAATACGACCCCGCGCGAAAGCATATGAGGAATACTGAGCGCCTACTGGACCAAATGTAATCCAATCGGTTATTGAGAAGCCGAACAGCCAAATACATTTCCCTAAGAGCATAATGCAGAAAGTCTTAATTCCAATTATATTCAGTGAAATTGAAAGAGTAATCTTCCACGACCTCTGGAACATAATTGTCTGACCTATTTTGCACTCGATAGAAACGTATCTTTAGACCACCACCACCAGCACGTCCCGAAAGCGAAATACGAACCTTTGTTAGCGTGCAGGCACTGGCCAAACCATCGCAACAGGGCATTTTTGACACAGTTCCTTTGTTTTCCAGCACGTAGGAGATTTTTGAAGAGTGTACATAGACGCTGATCATTGTCCTTTGTAATCTAGTGAAAAGAATGGAAGAGAAAGGAGAAAAAAGGGGTAAATATCAATAGAAGGAACAAGGAAGGAGCATTTATCGTACTCGGAGAAAACCTCCGGATTGCTCAGAGCATCAAAGTCGGCTCTTTGACGACCAATAGATCGCGGATCAGAGTCTCAGAAGATTATAAAACCTGTGATTGGGTATGGCTTACTGGTGACGGCTAGTAAGCTAAATAATTTCCAGTCTCGTCTCCAGAAGAAGGGCTGATCGTTTGACAAGGAAGTTGACTAGCTCGACGTTTCGCATTGTCGCTCGAACACATCAGCAGAGACAGTCGCAGGTAGTCGTAATAGAGGCACACTATACGTAGTGTTTATAGTCCGTAATCAACACCGAGAGTCGTAGTTGATGCGATGATGGTTTAGCGGTCCGCGCCCTAGTTGTTAACTGCTGCTTTTCTGAAATTTCTTGGACAGCTTCTGTAGGGTATAGCAGAAGCGGCCGCAATCAGGTTTTAAAAACAGGTCCTGTGCGCCCCAAAAGAACTTCATAAAGAAGCCACAGTTACCATGGCCGAAAACCGCTAATTCGATCGCCGCTGCTAATTACATTTCCCAGATGTCAGTACTCCCCGGACGATTTTCAGATTACTAATCGCGATTTTGTTTCTTACTTCATGCTGAAAATCGCAATATTTTTCTCTTCACACGCATATTCGACTTAGTTACACAACGATATAGATGTAAAAACCCGACGTATGCTCGCCCAAATAATATTTTATAGTCTTCATAATCATCTACTAAAACATTTTAAGTAGCAGCTTTTAGCAAGTGTAAACAACAGAGGCCCATGAAAGGACTCTGAACCTGAAATCCCACTCCAAACTTATGACAGACAAAAGGCTAAAGGGAGTCTCGTCGGCCCATAACGGTTGGTTTTTTCAGAAATTTGAGCGAGGCTAACCAAATCCGCCCTAATTCCTCTATGTTCTTTACTATGACTCTGAAGGATTAATCACTGTAATTCATACAGAACGTTTTCCCGTTCTGTAGAAATGAGGTCTCGAGGGTAGGATAAGTTAACAGTTAGAAACAAAGCGATTAAGGCTGTTCCAACACTCCACAAATCTGCCTAGAACTCCGGCTACATTTAAGTTCGAAATTCGCATGTCAATTTGTCGAGTTAAATAGTTTTTTTCCTGTAGTAAAAGTCAAGAAAGAAATACGAGAATAAATAAGCCATAAAGATTTGGAGGAAATGTTAAAACCCGCTTTTATGCAGTCTCGAAGTAAGCAGCAGCCTGATAGAAAGAACAGAAATGGCGGACTCATTGAAAACATGCCTGCCAAATGTTTCGCTGGTCCGCCTCAATGGACGGCTTGATAGGAACCGCTTCCACAAAAAATTCGCCCGCCCAAGAATTGGAAGCAGAAGTAGGGTCTCGAATGGCTAAAATTGAATCTTCCATCGCCTGCAGAGGACAAAGGTGGCTCGCAACTAGAAGACGTCCAAAAAGACCATCCTCGAAGTCACTGCCAGAGGGAGTAGTAGTTGGAGGGACAGAAGCCTCCACGAGGAGCTACAGGTATGGGTTGAAAGAAACCAGATCAAGGTCGGAACTCAGGTATAGTGGTTATAGTGTCTCCCAAAATTAACTGCCTAAATAATACTAAAAAAGACATGAAGTTGTGGGTTTGCTGCCCAAAATGCGACAAAGCCTTGTTGTTGAATGCTAATTACTACAACAGAATAACCGCTAAATACTCACACTCAACAAAGTATAACATAAGGATTCTGGGTGGTTTAACGCTCCGCCTAAAATAAGTACGGTAGATGTCGGGTTTACCTCCCCGATCAGCACGCGAAAAGCCCATCCTTTTGTAATATGGGACAAGGTATAATAAAGGTTGTACCGTTATACAGGGGAAAGGAAATGTAGAAACAACAGGAATAATTATTTAAATAATGTAATTATTGTCAACAAAAAGGAGCGCCATAATTAAAATGGGCAACTGTAACGAGCTACCCACCCCCACCTCCACGGGCGACAGTTTTTCTCCTTAAATTCCTCAAATGGCATTCAAACCCCGTAGACTTTCTGAACAATGCCTAAGGAGTTTTTTCACTGTCGGCCCTTCTTTACCCAGTTCCAATAACTGGCAACGCCCCTGTTTTGAAATGTTCTGCTGAACAAATGCATTGCATAACTGCTCTGTACCAACTGGGAGTTCAAAAGGTATTGACCTACATTTCCCTCAATAAAGCCTGACCTGACCTTACCTGAATGTGATTGTTCGAATGAGGTGGACCTTGTTTACGCGCGGATCTGGAATGGGGACGGTGTAATTTGCTTGCTGATGAAAATGGCCGATGCCCCTTCCCTACAAACTGCCGATTCCCATCCCTCAACTCAACAACAGGCACCGAATCTCTTTCAACGGCTTCCAAACCCTTACCTGCAGATGCAACGTGCGCTGTATTCCCCACTGGTTATTTAGCGGACTTACTGCAAGGTATGTTGGTGAAAAGGGTAAACGCCTCTGCACAAGACTGCATGAACACCAACTTGCAGTCAATCGCGAGA